CATGTGTAATATAGTATGTGATGTAGCAATAATCTGCAAAATAAAATATAAATCTAATATAATTATTCTAATTTATTACACATTGATTATATCATAGTGATATATTATAGATCAATTCATCAAGATGATAGTATTATTATAGCTAAAAAGTATTCATTTCTTCAGATCAAGTAAGATTTATGATGATCAGTTTGATCTTTTCCTTCTATGCAAGTATAGTAGACTTGAGATATTCTTGAATCTCAAATATTATTGATTCAGAGTTGCTAGTGCTAGTTTCAGTCACTTTATCATGAATTATCAAATTATATTATTTATTAATAGATTGAGATTAATAACTTATATTTGTTCTTCTTTAACAAGAAGTAGTTGATTCTTTATAAAATTAATGATATTATTAAAATCATATTTTCATAATATCCAAGTAAGTTACAAGATAGAGGCTATAACTTCTTTATTTAGCTAGATATTATTACTCATTATTTTATTTTTCCTTTAAAATGATAAAGAAATAGAGGGCAGAGACATTTAAATAATATTCATTCTATGTGATCATCTATTAATATTATACTAATATATTATACTGATCATTTCATAATTAAGATATTGATACATATTTCAGAGAAATTTGTTTCTTATAGTATTGTATGAGCTGTGTGTTATTAAAGAATTTCTTGATTACTTGATCATATTAGTTTCATAATTTATAGATATTATTATCATATATCTTATGAATATAATATTACTCATTACTTTATTGGGCTTTGAACTTGTCTCCTTTTAGTACATGTTATATTATGTTATAGATTAATACTTTTTCATCAATATCAAATAATGATATTCATCAAATTTTTTGATTATATCATTCTTTCATTTTTCATTAGGCTTCCTGTATATTATCCTAAATAATTTGAATTTAATCAGATAAGTGATATATAATAGTAAAGATTCAGTTTTTCATAATTTCTATATTTTTAATACTTATTATAAGAATTTCATATTGCAATTTGATAAGTAGTCTTGCTTCATATTCATATATCAAGAAAAATGATCTGTGTCTTGTGCTAACATTTCTTAATATTTTATAGGTAAACAGAATGACAGAGATGTACACATTCTATTCAGTATCCAATTTGATATAATATTTCTGCAACATTAAATAAAGAATTCAATTATAATATTTAATAATACTATTCATTTATGAATAATATGAGAAAAAAAATCTATATTGTATATTAAACTATTCAGTAAGTAATTTTATGATAAAAATAACAAATTCAGATCCATTATCTAATTAAATTTCTTTAAAATAATCATGTTAGTAAATTATGTCTTTGAAAATAAATATCATAATATTACTTATTTTCTTGTTAGGTATTGCTTGAGCTTCTGGCTATTTTGTAAGATAGTTAATGGTCATAATGATATATTAATTTCTATTTGCTATTAAATAGGTAAAAGAGATTATTTGATTTTTCATCCACTAGTTTGTTAGCAGATCTGACATAATTTTATAAAGTTATGAATATTACTTTCTATATCAGTCTATCAGTAATGAGTAATAATATGTTAATAAGTTTTTTTATATGCAAAATGTAATAAAAGTAAGTCTCTATACATGTAAATCATAATAGCTTTCATTTCTATATTCTTCAAAACTCATAGAGAGCTGCTTGATTCTTTTCTTCTATTTGATTTTATATAATAATTCTTCTTATATTATATATTTCTCTGCATATTCTATAAGATAACTTCTATTTTCTAGATAATATAATAAGTTATTATAAGTATTTATCTCTATTATTTGGTTTTTGTGAAGATTTTCAGTTTATTTAATTTGTTTTTAGTATCTAAATTTTGTTTCTTTGCTATTGTCTAATTATTTTATTTAACTGCTCAGATTTATTCTTATTTCACTTACTAATTTTAGTTAATATAAAAGAGCATATCTGTATTTTAATTAAGAATAATAAAAAATAGTAAATATATATTCCAATATCATTATTATTCAATAAGATACTCATAGATTAGGATTAATCTGCTTGGTAAATAACCAACAGAGTGTACTGTGATTGGTGATAATTTCAAAAAGAGTTCCAAGAAGATAATGTTAGAATTGTTTTACTCTTCAGATGATGACTAATACTTCTTTTTTTATTATGTTATAGTATTTTTCTTCTATATAAATAATTATGTATTCTTGATTCTGATTATTCTTCTGTGATAATATCACTTCTAAGCCTGTATCTGAAATATCTGTATATAAGTAAAACTTCTGAGAGAAATTTGAATATATTAAGATCAGAGCTAAGATCAGTTATCTTTTAAGTTCTTCAAATATCTTTTCTTGTTCCTAAAATTAATATTATTCTTTAATAGGTGAAATAATGATGTGGTAATCTGTGAAAAGCTCTTAACAAATTTTTAATAGTAACTTACTAATTCAAGAAATGAGAACTGTACATGATCACAGAAATTCTTGGATGTTTCTAACAGTGGATAGATCATTTATAATGTCTTGATCAGTTACTATATGGCTCAAGAATGATAGATCTTTTCTTACAAAGTTATATTTTTTTGCATTTAATTTTAGTTCTACTTCCCTAATTTGCTGAAAAACTTTTTGTAAATGTTGCAGGTATTCTTTAAAATTCTTGAAGTAAATGTTGATGTTATCAATATAGACTATTGTGAAGTTTCAATTATAATCTTCTAACATTGCATCTATCTTATTAAAAGGTAGTAGAAGTATTACAAAGATCTTCTCATAAAATGAAGATGATCTTTATTATACTTAAGATTTCTATTCCAATTTGCCAATATCTACTGATAAGGTCAAGCAAGGAGAATTATTTTGTATTTTTCAAGTTTTCTAGCATTTTATTGATTTATAGTACTTGATCATTAAATAATTTCTATTTTTAATATTTACTATATCTTATTGTAGATAAATTCCTGTTCTGGTAAAGTCACTTATATGCTTTTTGTCAAATAGAATATGTATCTGTTATATCAATTATATGTTGAACTAAATTAGTTTTTTCCAATTTGGTTATATCAGTAACAAACAGATCCTTATATGCTTCTAATAAATTCTGAAGCTACTTCATTTGCTGTTGGTCTAACTTTCTTTATTTAATTACTTTATCATGATCTTCTATCTTCAGGAGATATACCTCCAATTTAACTTATTCCATAGATCTGAATTCAGTAGCTTCTTGACTAGATTCATCTAATTTTTATCACGTCAAATACCATTAACATCCACCAATTTTAGGAATACTACTTGAATTATCCATTTATTAGGCTGAATTTGATATGGGGAAATCAAATTGTTGTAGATAAATATATTTATATTTTCAATATATTCAGTATCAATTATTTCTCTTTTCATTTTTATGTTTTCCTTTACTAAGGATGATCATAATATTAATTGGTAGATGGTTCCTACAGAAACTTTAAATGTAATAAAGAGATCAATCAAAATAGTTTGACTTGATTTGATGGTGATAGTTTCCATTCCAGGATAGTGAAGGTCAAATCCTGCATCAGTTTCGTGAGCATATTCTGGAATCCTTCCTTTATCATCATTAGTATAGACTTTAATTAGGTAATTGGCTTCTTGAATTTATTTGGTGTTATATACTTCCCAATCAAAAATGTCTGATCACTTTAAAATCAGATAAAAATACACAAACTTCAATAATTAATTTCTCAATAATTTATAAACAAATATTATAAAAAATTTATATCATTTTATTTAGAAAAACATAAATTTTATTAATATCTAATTGGATTTCCATGGCTATCTAATACTGCTTGAACTCGTCTTGACAAACTTTTAACTAAATTTGTTAAAATTTCAGGCTCAATTTTATTTCACTTCTCCTTCAAAACTACTATTAATTCCATAATATTTTTTGGATGAGATTTATGTTCCCTAACCCTTCTTTTCAAAACATCTCACAAATGTTCAATTAGATTAAGATCTGAACTCTGTGCAGGCCATGGAAGACTTAATACCAAATTATCCTCTTTCTATTAATTGACCATTCTTGTTCTATATATTAGAGCATTATCATCTTGAAAAATATATTGTGAATTGTTTTCTAAACTATTATAAAAGGATAAAAAAGTATTTTCTAATATGTTTATATATATAGAACCTGTTATTCTACCTGAAACTTGAATTAAAGGACCAATTTTATCTTTTGCAAAACATCACCATATTATAACCCCTTGATTTCCAGATTTTACAGTTGAAATTAAGCAACTCACATCATATTTTTCATGTGATCTATGCCAAACCCAATGATATATATCATTTTGAAATAACATAAAACAAGATTCATCACTCCAAATAATAGAATTCCACTCATCATCACAATTTCTTCTTTCATGGCACCATTCTAATCTTTTTTTACAATTTGATTCAGAAATAAATAGTTTTCTCTTTCCAGCTCATTCATAAAATCTCTCAATATGTAAAGTACGCTTTATAGTACTAGAAAATACTAAAATTAATAAAGATTCATTTGTCATTTTCTCTAATGATTGTTATTGATCTTCCTTAACTAATTTTACAAGACTTCTAGTTTCTCTTTCTGTGAGTTTTGGTGACCTTCCTGAACATGGAGCAACTGTAACATTTTCTGAATTTTTATATTTTGTTATAGTGTCATGAATAGTAATTTTAGAATGTTCAAGAATTTCTTCAATATTTCGTTTACTATGACCTCCTTTCCAGAGACCTATAATCTCTCCTCATTCAAACTCAGTAAGTTCACGCCTTTTGGACATTGTAAAAGAAAAAAAATTTTTTATTTTCAGGTAGCTGAAGTCAAGAGCTGCATGGAAAAAAAAATTTTATTTATTAATGCTTAATAGTTTTGGCGTAATCTCATTTTAAAAGTTAATGATCTGTAATCTTAAATCAGATGGTCGGAGACTTTTGATCGGGGAGTGTACATTGATCGTTTCCTCTTTCAATGTGTCTTTCATCATTCCTGTGAAGGTTCATTTTCCAGGTATGGTATTCGTTATTTGTTGTCTTGTAGTTGTTATTTCTCACCTCGTTATTTGTTTTACCAGAACACCCCTGTCTTGGATCAACTTCTTCTCCCATCGCGGCTTCCATTTCAATTTCAGCCTCCTCAACCTTCGACTCGATTTTGGCCTTTCCTTTGCCAGTGTTCTGGTTCGCTTCGAGGATTGGTGTGGACTGCGCACTACAATCGTCATATTTCTCGGAGTCACAAGGAATTAAACATTCGGCACGGAGGTGAACGTTGATGAATTCTAGCCGAGCTAATTGTGACCATCATTTTGGAGTTAGTTGTTGATATATTAACATAAAGATTTCAGTTGCTGGAGCTTCTTCGGGTCCTTCGTAATTAATATATCCTAGTTCGCCTTCAAAGTCATCTTCGTTAACATAGCGAGACAGGATGGCCTTTCCAATTCATTGCATTCCTGGTACACCAAAGTAAGTATTCCACCTTCGCATAACTTCTGAATCGTTCCGTTATTTTTCCTCCAGCCTCCGTGATTGAATATATAAACACATTGCTCATAATAGGAGCAAAAATATTTGGTCGAGCTGATTCTTTGGTTGGAAACTTGGTTTCAACGATTGGAATTTTATCAGAGAGTCGCTGGTTTTCTACCTTGATCCACCAATCCTTACAAGAGCCCTCGTCTAGAAGAATAGAAAGGTTGTCGGGGACTCGAAGCTTTACATTGATCCATACGATCAATTCCTGGTAGCATATTTGGCATTCATGGGTTGAGTTCGAAAGTATACATCGACACTAACATTCAGCCGGGCCTTTCCAGTCGAACTTCCATTTTGAGTTGTGGTATTTGATTTGGTCAAATTTTCTTTCTAAGCGGCCGTATTCCTCCCAATCGATTGTCTTATTATTAATTTGAATTCCTTTCTTGTAGATACAGACGTCGTCAACCTTTGGTATTCTCCTAGCCATGTATCGGGGTATTCTTCCAAGGTCAACTTCATCCAACATTCGGATAACCGTTTGTATCTGTGTCCAAGAGTTTTCGGCAGTCCAACAAAGAAAGTTCCGATTCTCCAGTTGTTGTTCTTCGAATTCTTCATCGCTGTCGGTTGATTCGTCATCGGAGAGTTCAGAGTCGTCTGTATCAGATTCGAGGTTTATAGGATTCCTTTGACCATGGATATACTGGATATTAACCTTTCCTTTTTGCCCGTTCCATTCTAGCGTCATGGTACCCTTTTTGACGTCGATATTTGCATTTACTTTGTTTAGTAAGTCCATACCAATTACTACGCTGTAGGTTTTGGCTTCCGTGACGTCGACCTCTGCCGGAATTACGATTCCGTCGATCATGATTGGAAACTCGTCGATTGCTCCTAACGGCTTGCTTGGTATGACCATTTATATCCGTCATCGTTATGTTCGATTTCCTAGCTTCGCACCAAGCTGAGGTAGTTTTGATCCTTGCCTGACTGGTCATCCCGGTTGTCTTCCGCGTCGTCTTCTTTTTGATGGGTCGTCTCATCCCCTTTGGACATCTTGATGCGTTGCTCCGGCGAAGTTTTAATTAATTGCGCGATGGTGATATTTGCCTTTGCAGCAGCGAGATCATCTAAGATATCGTAAGGAACAGCCCGGGAGGCAAGTACTGGTAATTCAGCTTTGGCCTTTCTCTTTTTCTTTTTGTCTTCTGGCTTGTTCTCAGCTTGCTCGGGTGCTATAGGTGTTTCCTCAGCTTGCTCGATCCCTTCGTTTACATCGTCTTCCGGGGGTTCTATCTTAGTTCGTTTACGTTTTCCGACCAAGTATTCATGTGTCGCCAAGAGTGTTGAGTTCGATGAACCGTGAGTGTTATTTTCAGTGCTGGTGGATGCCTGGATAACGTTAGCAAGCGTCTGAATCTGCGAAGAAAGAAGGGCGTCAATATTAATTAGTCGGGCATTATTTGCTTCGGGCACTTGTGTTGTGGGAACATTATTTTGTCCAAAAGGGTTATTACTAATAGTCGCTGAGTTTGCATTGTAGGTCGACTGTTGACTCTGTCGGTTATTTGCGGGGTATCGTTTGTGTTATGAGTATTTTGGCAAAATTGTTGTATATGTCCAGTCTGGCCACATCGATAACAAGTCGGTGGATTTCTGGGACTTTGTTAATTCCTGTTCCTGTCGTATGTTCTGGGTTGATAAGTCGTTTTCTTGGTGGTTTCGACTTGTTCCAACCTATCAATTAGGCTTCGAAGGGTTTGATTCAATACATTGACATCAACGGACGGTGCGGCTTGGAGTTGGTGGTAAGTTTGCGTTATTTCTTCAGTACTGGCTTCTTCGATAGTCTTGGCCACCTTGATAATATTATCCCATGTACCATCTGAGTTAATATTAACCCACTTTCTGATTTCAGGCTTAAGTCTCCTTTTGTAAGTTCGCGTACGGTAGTCCGCTGGATAATGTCCGTCGGGATCAACTTTCTTGAGTAACTGGATAAAGCGGTCAGTATATTCTTCTATAGTTCCTTCTTATTTTAATGTTTCGAGTTCGTCCTGCCATTGTTCTACTTTTCGATTTGTCTGAAACTTTAGGGTAAATCGATGTTTGAAGTCGTGTTTATCGTGCTGTTGATTTGTCCAAGCATTCAGTCGAAGGTTAGCGTCGGCATGCCTCTGGTCAAACCAAGCGGCAGCGGTTCCTTCAAGGTAACCTCGTACAATTTGGATTTTTCTTTCGTCGGTGATTCTATTAGCGCGAGCAGTGATTTCGAAATCCCTGATCCACTCGACTGGATCTTGGTTTTCGCCTCGGAATTTCCTGATCGGTATCAAGATCTTTTCTGGTCGTTGGGCTAATCCAGCGTTCATGGCTTCGGTAAGATTGGCAAGGGCTTGAATCAAGTTGTCCATATTATTTGCCATTTCGTTTATTTCGGGTTCTTCATTTACTTCGTTAACTTCAAGTTCTTCTTCGATTAGTAGGATGATTCGTTTGTAATCGTCGTCACAGTTTTCCGATTCCAATTCAATTTTTAAATGGTAATCCGTTGGGGAAGAGTGTTAGTTTGATGCGGTTGCGTCCACAGAGGGGGCACCACGAATGTCACAGGTGGGTTAAAGTTTCGTGGATTTGGGGAAATTTGTACACCGTGGGAGAGGGTGATTAGACTAATTTTATCAGTTGGTCTAAATCCTGTGCCAATATCTACGGATATCGTTCAATATGATCGTCTCAAAGGTAATTATGAGGCAGGGTAAAGGAGAATTTGTGTATTAATTATTAACTAATCTATTCTTTTTATTCCCGTGCTTTTTCTAGCTAAAAGCCTTAAACTCGGATCAATCAAATCATTCAATCAATGATGCGTTTCACCTTTTCTGGACTAAAGGACCTAACCAATTCGTTGTCTTTTCTGGTGGAAAGAACCTAACCAACACGTTAGAATTACGATTCTAATAAAGCGATTTTTACAAGTGTTTCTCT